ATGCCTGCGCGCGCCACAGCACGACCTGGTCCCCCATACACACACAAACACCAGGATTTCACACAACGGGGGTTGAACGGCGTGTCTCTCACTTGCGTGAGAGGGCCGTGGAAGGTGCAGCTTCAGCCCATCCCCAGCCCACGAGTCCGCCACTCCACACAACACACACACACACACACACACACACACACACACAACATGACGAAATGCGTGAGCCGAGAGCGGGCGTCAATCAACAACCGTCCCATCCACGACGCTTGACGTGTCGGGATAGTCTCGGACTCAAGTCACCCGTGCAGCCGAAGCCGCATGGGGACCGAGTCGAGAGCACACTTCCCACTTGCGTGGAAGGTAGCAGTTGGTGCATGCGGTGGATGAGTGTTGATGTGTGTTGTTGATGGTGGAGGATGGTAGGGAGTGTGTGAATGTGTGGTGTAACCGGTGGTTGTCTACCGCAGGTCGTCGTGGATGCGCATGTGACCGAATAGTCCCATACGATGCCTGACAGTGTGGGCAGTTGAGTCGAGCTTGGTGAGTGTAGGTTGGTGCTCCAGGCACTGGTTCTCCAGTCTCCGTGCGATGGATTCGCAAGTGACCGACCAGGCCGATGCGTGAGGTGAATGTGCGTGGGCAGTGTGGGCATGTGAATGCGGCGGTGTCAGTGTCAGCTACAGAGGAGGCGTTGGTGGTGGTGCAGACGGATGGTGCGAGGGTGGTGCTGGGCATGTCGGGCGTGGTTGGTGTATCGGAATTGTGGTCAATTCCACTCTCGTGGATGCGCATGTGGCCGAATAGACCCATGCGATGCGTGAAGGTGCGAGGGCAGTGTGGGCAGTGGAGGCGAGTGCGGTGGGTGTAGGTTGGTGCCCCAGGCACTTGTTCGCCGGTCTCTATGCGATGGATTCGCAAGTGACCGACCAGGCCGATGCGTGAAGTGAAGGTGCGATCGCAGTGAGGGTAGGTGTAGTCCTGGCCCTCACGTCACACACACACACACACACACACACACACACACACACACGATAGTTTGACCGTCGATTTCGTCAATGTTCACCGTTTGCCCCACAGCTGCAGCAGCGGTAGGAGCAGGGACGATGACTTGCGCAGGGGTTTATCTTGCCAGTAGACTTGAGCTGCATCCACCTGCAGTCTCTCCTCATCCACTTGAGCCCGGTGTCAAGACAGTGTCAAGAAGACCGGAGACGAGGGAGGCCGCAGGTGGATGGCTTGCACGGATCCTTACCTAAGCTCTCCACTCCGCACCACCTGGTCCACACGACAAATGACCAGGATTTTGACCACAACATTTGGGGTGATGGCAGCAGTCCCAGTTGTGCGACGACAGCCGACAACAAGTTCCGCCAGCGCACACCGACAACATTGGCATTTTTTGTAGAGATAACGCCTGCCGGAAACAAATGTATCCCCCGTGTTGGTCCAGCACATATAAAACGTGGCCTGTTTGGGGAGCAAAACACACACACACACAAACACACACACACGCACACACACAATAATTCGACCGTCGATTTTGACGATGTCCACCGTGTGCCCCACGGCTGCAGCAGCGGCGGGAGCAGGGACGGTGACTTGCGCAGGGGTTTATCGTGCCAGTAGACTTGAGCTGCATCCACCTGCAGTCTCTCCTCCTACCCCGCCTGAGCCAGGTGTCAGGACCAAGTCAAGAAGACCGGAGACGAGGGAGGCCGCAGGTGGATGGCTCGGACGGATCCTCACCTTCGCGTTCCAACACACCCCAAGGTCCACACAACAAATAACTAGGAGTTCAACCAACACAACCGAGATTGGAGGCTGGCACGGCCAAGGCCGCACCTAGGCGTGCCGCCAACGTCTGGCTCGGAACCCGCACTGTGGTGGGAGTGCCATAAAGGCCACATTAAAAAGGAGCCATTGCAGCCTGACTCTCAGACCGCCTCCAGTGAAGGAGGAGTTCCAAGGTACCCCGTCAGTTGGCAACCTTCCAAGCCACGGCTTTTAGCGCACATTGTTAGCTTCAAGCACGTCAGATTTTTTATAGTGAGGAGAAAGTGCGCTGAGTCGTCGACCTCACTCGTCCTTCCCATTCCCGCACTCCAGCCGCCGTCCGAGCCTGTCAGTAGACTGAGGTGGGGAATGGGCTCGGTGGCTGTCAATGTCTGCTGACCATGTCTGCTCGTGCCACAGCAAGACCTGGTCCCCCATACACACACAAACACCAGGATTTCACAAAACGGGATTGAACGGCGTGGCTCTCACTTGCGTGAGAGGGCCATGGAAGATGCTTTTTCGGCCCCTTCCATCCCACCAGACCGCCACTCCACACAACACTCAACACACAAACACACACACAACGGAACGGCCTGCGTGGACCGAGTAGGGCGTCAATCAGCAGCCTTCCTATCCACGACGCTTGACGTGTCGGGATAGTCTCGGACTACAGTCACCCTTGCGGCCGAAACCGCATGGGGACCGAGTCCAGATGCCCACTTACCACTTGCGTGGGTGCATTCGGGGGGCGAGTGTTGATGTGTAGTGGGGTGGTGTTGTTGTTGGTGGATGAGGGAGGGTGGGTTGGTGTAGAGCAACCGGCGGTTGTCTACGGCAGCTCTTCGTGGATGTGCATGTGGCCCAGGAGACCCATGCGGCTCGTGAAAGTGGGAGGGCATTGTGGGCAATGGGGGCGAGTGCGCTGGGTATAGTTGGGTGCTCCAGGCACTGGTTCGCCAGTCTCAGTGCGATGGATTCGCATATGAACGACCAGGCCGATGCGTGAGGTGAATGTGCGTGGACAGTGTTGGTAGGTGAGGTGTCGATTACAAACGGGATAGTGATGGTGATGGGCGTACAGGGTGATGGATTGGGGATGGGGTTTGGCATGATGGGTGTGTGGGATGTGGTGGGTGTGTCGAGTCTGCGGTCAACTCCGCTCTCGTGGATGCGCATGTGGCCGAATAGGTCCATGCGATGCGTGAAGGTGCGAGGGCAGTGTGGGCAGTGGAGGCGAGTGCGGTGAGTGTAGTTTGGTGCTCCAGGCACTGGTTCACCTGTCTTTGGGCAATGGATTCGCAAGTGACCGACCAGGCCGAAGCGTGAGGTGAATGTGCGATCGCAGTGAGTGCAGGTGTAGGTCTGGTCCTCACCTCTGCGGTCGGAGGTTGCAAGGGTGACGCCTGTTGTTGTGTCAGGGGTGGGTGTGGTGATGCCGTGCGCGACAGACGCCTGAGCGGCCGTCGCTGGGGCAGTGGAGGAGGGGGATGAGGGGGAGGAGATGGAGGAAGGGGAGGAGGAGGAGGAAGAGGAGGAGGAAGAATAGGAGTAGGAGGAGGAGGATGAGGTGGAGGAGGAGGAGGATGAGGAGGATGAGGAGGATGGAAGTGGTGATTCAGAAGAATTAACAGAGCTAGTTGGGGGCGGAGAGGACGAGGAAGAGGCGGGCGGGGGACGACTGTTTGTGCAACTGCATTTGTCTCAGCATGGTGTAGATGCTGAGCATTCCCGTCCGTCCCAGCACATCAGTGTCGGGGACTCGATCCTGCCAGTTCAGTCTCAGGATCCGACGAAGGCAACTGAGGTGGAAGTGGTTCAGTCGGCGTGTCTGCCTCGTGTACACTGTCCAAGTCTTCGCTCCGTACAGCAGCGTCGGCAGGATGACGACCTTGTACATCTTCAGCTTCGTGCTCAGTTGGAGACCATGACGATTCCAAACTGAGCTTTGGAGGCGACCGAAGGCCTAACTGGCCTTCGAGATCCTTCAGGCCACTTCGTCATCGTTTAGGTGGTACGGGAGAGCGTGCCGCCCAGGTACGGGAAGTTCTTTACCACATGCAGTTGACTGCCGTTCACGTTGATTTGCGGCGCATTGGGGGGAGTGGCTGTGTGGGTGGCGGTTGATGCATCACCACCGTCTTATACGTGTTGATAACCAGACCGAAGTTCTCGCAGGCGGCGGCGAACAGGTGCATGCTCCGTTGCATCTCCTCTTCCGAGGTGGTGTTCAGGGCGCAGTCGTCGGCGAAGAGAAGTTCATAGACAGTGGTTGTGGATACGCGTGATTGGAAGTTCACCCGCCTTTGATTCTGGAGGTGACCGTCCCTCCTGTAGGTGATGTGGATGCCAGGATGCTCATCACGGTAGGTGCCCATCAGCATGGCAGAAAACATAGGACTGAAGAGGGAAGGCGCCAGCACGCATCCCTGCCTCACTCCGTTGGTCACAGCGAATGCCTCTAAGACAGCTCCGTTGTCCGTGACTCGTGCCATCATACCGTCCTGCAGCTGACGCACCATCTCAATGAATCGCTCCGGACAGCCGAATTTCTGCATGAGCTTCCACAATCCTTCACGATTCACCGTGTCGAAGGCTTTCGTCAGGTCCAAGAAGGTAGATTACATGTGGGTCCGCATCTCCTGGCTCTTCTCCTGAAGTCCACGGGCGGCGAAGATCATATATGTGGTCACGCGAATACAACGGAAGCCGCACTGGCTTTACGGCAGAAGGTCCTGTTCCAGATGATTATTCAGATGCTTGAAGAGGATGCGAGCGAAGATCTTCCCGGCGATGTTCAACAAGGAGATGCCACGATGACTGTCGCAGACTTGTCTGTTTCCTTTGCGCTTGTATAGATGCACGAGGGTTGCGTCCTTGAAATCTTGCGGGATTTCACCTTGGTGCCACATCTCCTGGAAGAGCGCAGTCAGGTGATCCATTAGTTGGGGGACTCGGTGCTTGTAGACTTCAGACGGGATTGCGTCTGATCCGGGTGCTTTCCCGCTGGAGAGCTGCTGCACGGCCCTGATGGTTTCCTGGAGACATGGCGGGAGTTTGACATCCGCGTTGGTCTCCACTTGCGGCAGACGAGCGATGGCGGTGTCGGAGATGGCGGAGGGGCAGTTGAGGACGCCTCGGAAATGCTCGGCCCATCGATGTAGAATTTGTATCTTCTCAGTCAGGAGGGTACTGCAGTCGGCGCTGAGCGGAGGAGCAGTGCCCTTCGTCGGCGGACAGTAGACAGCTTTGATTGAGGAGAAGACGTTCTTCCACTCGTTGTGGTCCGCGTAATTTGGATCTCCTCAGCTTTGCGGGCAGTCCAGGCGTCCTGCATTTCGCGAAGTGGTTGCTGGAGTTGGTGTCTTCTGCGGTAGAAGGCAGGTCTGTTGGCGTCAGTTGGATGGTCTTCGTAGGCTTTGCGTAAACGGTTCTTCTCTGCGAGCAGATTGCTGATGACGGCGTCGTTTTCGTCGAACAATCCTAGTGTTGGAGGCGTGCGCGACCGAGGACGGTTAGCGCCGTCGACTGAACCGTGTTTCACAGTTGACACAATCGGTTCTCCACGGAGCGTTCTCGGCAGCGGCGGCGTCGGCGGCTACTGCGGCAGCGATTGGAAGGTTACTAGCCGTTGAGCTAGCTCATTATTGAAATGAAGACGGTGAGCGGGCAAAGACAACAATGCAATATTCAGCTTATCTGGGGTTCGCTTAACTTATGGTCTCCTGCGTGGCTGTAGGCGAATACGCATCTTCGAGATGACGAGGCGATGGTCGGTCCACCCGTGGGCGCCCGCGATCGCTTTTGTCACCAGCACGCCACACTGATCTCGCCTACGGACGAGGACATAGTCCAGCAGGTGCCACTGACGCGACCGAGGATGCCTCCAGGTGGCCTTCTCTCGCTCCGGCAGACAGAAGAACGTGTTCGTCAGGATGAGGTGGTGTTCTGCGCAGGTGCGGAGGAGAAACAGTTTGTTGTCGTTGGGGCCGCAGAGACCATGGGGACTCAGCACTCCTCTTCAGACAGCATGGTCTGTGCCGACGCGGACATTGAAGTCTGCGAGGACAATCAACTTGTCCGACTTCGACACAGTCGCCAGGAGGGCGTGCAGGTCCTCATAGAACTGGTCTCTTGCGGCAACGTCGGGGCTGCTAATCGGTGGAGCATAGGCGCTGATAATGGTGGCGAATTTGCCCCTACGCCGGAGAGGTAGACGGAAGCTCATCAGGCGATCGTTGATTCCCTTCGGCAGGCTGGGCAGTCGTCCCAAGATGTCGAAGAAGAAAGAATAGGCAGTAAATGGAAGAGAGATATTGGTGTTGTTTCGGTTTCTGTTGGTTTGATTGTGTGTTTTATGTCTGCGGCCACGGCCAGACATCAGACGACGTGGTTGTGCAGCGCACACCCTAAATAGGACTTTCCCAGACGGTTGCCAAACTCTGGTGGGGGGAAACTAAACAGGAGAGGACAAACATGAAACAGAACTCACAAACACAAACACACACGCACACACACACACGACATGCCTCGCCCCGTACTTTTTTAATGATCTTGGAAGCCTGAGATTCAGGAACTTACTTTTTAACTTAGATAACTTCACTCTCGTTGGTTTTATGAGTTTCTGCTCCAACATTCACTTTGCTTCTTTAGTCCGGTCAGTTCCTATTTCGGTCTTCCCAAGAATTCGTTTTGAATTGCAATCGCATTGGATATCCTTGCAGCGGAAGCAGTTACCTCCTTTTCAGCGTGCACATCTGTTTTGTTTGTCGTTCATCGTACACCCACAGAAATTGGCCCCACCATCGTAGTTGCAGTTCCCTTACATTGTGTGATTGCTGAGGATTCTATTGTTTTGGATACCTTACAAGTCCAGAATTTCGCCCTGCACCTCTGGTTGATTAACTGCAGGAGATATCTAAGATGAAATTGGTTGTGATTCCGCGCTTGTTTCCTGTAGACGGTACAGGGCTCTGCAGCATACATATTCGTAATCCAAAAACCATGATTATATGTCATGAGCTTGGTGTTGAGAGGAAAACTGCAAAGTTCGCAGTTGACAAAAGGAGGGACTGGTTTTTGGGACCCGGTGGGCCAATTCATGGTCGGTCTTGAAGCAGGCTTGCTTGGTGCTACCAAAATAGGCGAAGTTGTCCACAGTTTTCGGTAATTACTGTTCACAAGTACAACAAGAAAAAAGTGCAAGCAGCGTTGGGTAGCGATTGTCGCATGACTGTCGTTTCGTTCTGGTTGTTATTCATCGTACATCCTCACGAAGTGACCGCTCCATCGTGGTCCTCCTCCCTCGTTGGAAATGATCATTGGGGAATGAGGATGTAGACACTGACGACAGTGACAAATTTGGCCTTCCGAAGATGTCGACGCAGGTTCAAGAGGTGCTCGTTGACATTCTATGGCGGACGGGGCAATAGGTTTAAAATGGCTTTTCGAATGTCATGCGCAGCAATAATTTGTCGTTGGGTGGCCCTCCCTAAGTATGACTTCTGAGGAGTCCCAGCGGACAATCGAACTCCATTATCTGTCAAGGCTTTTTTTAGCTGAGATCAACCCGAGCTCGTCTGAGTCGCCTATTGGATTGCATGTTGCCCTTAACGTGAGACGTCATAAGTGAAATTGGGAAGGAGGGGGAGGGAGGAAATGGCTGCGAGGAAATAAAGGCATGTGGATGAGGGAAACAAGGGATAAAGAAGAAGAGGTAATAGGATGGGAACATGGCTGCCAAATGCGGCGCTATACATCAGAGTAAAACATTTATCTGGTTTAACCCACCATGTAGTGGTGATTACCGGAATGTTACATGCTTGGTAGAACTTAGAGGTGCTTATCGTTGTTATATTTTGTTTTTCGGTAGTGAGTTCTGTATCTACAAGTCACGGTTTGTGTAGGGATGACTTGATCCTGACAGTTGCACAGAGTACATTTTCCAGTCGCCTTCCCGCGTGTGGGTATTTATTGATATCTCTAAATACGGCAACTCGGACATTCCACACAGATACCGAACTGAACATCAGGCACCCCAAGAGATTTAATTAGGAAGGTGAAATTCTTTGGTAAACAGTAAACTGTATTGTGCAAATTTTGGAGACTGGTGCCACAGCTCGTCTTCAGACAACGGGCGTGCAATAACAACTAACTTATAAACCGAATCTGGCAAAGGGTCCTATGACTGGGATTTGTGCCCAGTGTGTGCATGGCCAACTGTGTTACGGATTTGGTTAGTTGGGAGCACCCCGTGTTATTCTGAGTGGCCTATTGAATTGCATGCCATACTAGCCGTGGGACGTTTTAAGTGATATCGGGTAGGGGAGGAGGGAAATGGAAGTGGGAAGTAGAGTAGAAACGGAAAATGAGGAGGAAATGGATGAGGAAGAAGAGGAAAGTTGATGGGAACATAACTGCCGGATATAGGGCCACAGACCGCAGGATAAACATCATCTGGTTTAACTCAGCAGATAGAAGTGGTTACCGGTGTGTGACTCATTGGCACGAACTTCATCCACGTTGTTACTACAGTCAACCATAACTCTTTCACCGACAGTCGAGTTCTTGCCTGCGGTTCTGTCACTCACTGCGCATGCATCAGCCTATATCCCCCTTCAAAATATGATATTTGCCGCCTCTGGACTGTTAAGTACTCTCAAATGTCCAAGTCAATGGGAGTGAGGGTGTATATATCTCAGTGCAACCTCTCAATGTTCCTGAACGTCAGACTATTTCGTCGTGCCAAGATGTGAAGTATTTCATCAATTATCGAGAACGCCTGCATTCAAAGCGGTTTAGATAAATTATAAATACGTAAGATATCAAAGCGTCGTCTCGAAAAATTGGATACATTTGTGCACTTCTTTAATGCACAAAAGTACGCAGAAGTCCTTTCTGTATAACCGACTTCGGATATGAATTTATTTGTGCAGCGATTTCGAGAATCGGCGGACATTTCATAATTCGTGCAGAGTAAATTACAGATGATTATCACGACTGCTGCCCGATCGTAACTGACAGGGTAACGAGCACGTGGCACTGTGGTTAGGGGCGTTGGGCTTCTAAATAACAGGTTGCGGGGTCGAGCCGCAGATGGTCCACACTTCGGGACTGGATTTCATATTTGACGACGTCAGAAGTGGCTATTGCAGTCTGCTTTTATTTTGTCAATCATCAAGTTTGCTTATTGTTCACAGACGTAAATGAAGAAAACTCTTTACTGCGTTAAGTTTACCCATCTCAAATCTTTCTATAATTCCCTAGCTCATATCTCATCTGCACTTTATAGTTTCCGCGCAAGTCAAAACGAGAGAGACCTTTATTTTATCTGGCGAATCAGATGAAAGCGATCTGGATAACTGCAGCAACTGTAACAAAATTTTTTTATTTCTCTAAAAAGAATGCTGCTTAAATGAAGAAATACGCAGTTATGGAAAGGAAAAAAATTGATAACAGAATAGGACTTTATTTTTAAATTTAAAATTCTCGGAATAGTGCCATTTAGATTTGAGAACAATAGCTAAACCAATGGAGAAATACACATATTCCGTTGGGATGTAGGTTTTATTCTTGTACAGAGATAATAACAAATCTGACGACTGTAAATCATAATGGCGTCCCCATCCACTGCATCGGTTCGTAATTCGTCCAAGCATAAAATACTTGCCAATGATTGTCCTTGAACCTGGGATGTTTGAGCACTATAACCGTTCTCACTCCATTAGCTAAATCATGCATTTGAGAGGCACAGATAAGGCCTGCCTCTTTACCAAAATGCATTCCTGCAACGCAGTGCTCAAAGTTTTGATGAGTTATTCTTGCATTTTCATGGAATAGTAGGTCGGATGCTGGTAAGTGCATTTGTTTCTAATCAATTTTTCTTACATCTGTCGTCGTATTGAAGCAGTTTGCCTGGTTTTAAAAGTTAATAACTGCTAATAAACAAGTTTCTATCATCCTTTTCCCAGTATGTTCACTGCCTCTAAACGCCGTCTCTCCACTACTCTCAGATAGCTCTATCTCAAATTGCACCCTGTTTCTAAGATGAAGTCCTATCACAGATATATAAAACTTAGGCCGATAGTATTACATTTGAAGCCTACGAGGGGAATATGGCGGCGAAAATCCACAAACATTTGCGCGTATATAATAAGTTCGCCTTTCATCACAATGACTTAGAAATCCAGGCTTACTGCAGACCAGGTGTGGTTCAATCGTATTGGACCCCTGTTGATAAAAGGATAGAAGGCATAACGTGGGGTACAAGTCCAGGATTGATTATATTCTCGGCGGTGATTGTCAGAGGTCCGCCATTACCATCAACAATCAACGATCAAATTACGATGGGTACTAACAATGGAGGAGCCAAAGAGTCAGTTACTCAAAAAACAATTATTGGAAACGCAAAAGAAGTAACAACTGTTGTGATGGAATCTCAGTTGAATTTCGCTGAAGAATTATAGCGAGCTAGGTAGAAATGCGGACTGTGTGAGAAAACAAATTTTATGCGTTTTTGGATGCTTGACGTAGGTTTGTAACTTTTAATCTCTGTAAACTATTTAAAATGAACATATTTATATAGGTCGATTTAACACAGTACTCAACTACTGAATGGAAAATGGCCAAAAATATGTTACCTCGAAAGAGAAGATGTGATTTAGCCATACGTTTCAGTCCACAATGTAATAAATCATTTTGTAAATAGGTGAACCTCACCAAGATCATTAACACAAGTTCAAGATCTTGCATGGATGCCGAGACAAATATATCTTACGAACTGCAGCAATAGCATAGGACTCCTAGTACTACTTGTTTGTAGAATGGGAATAACGTGGTTACTCCACATTAGTTGATTTTATTCGACTCGAATGTTCATTGAAATTTCTGTTCTGACCCTAAAGCGTCATGTCCAGTAGATTTAACTGCAAGTCCTGCACTGAGTAATTTCTCAAATTATTCCCTGGAGTTCATATAGCAAAAAGCGCATAGAGAAGGATGGGGGTGGCACTGAAGAGCTGAACCGCTTGCAGCTGTGTCACGCAGCGGCAGAATATCGGCGAAACACGTGTCTGTGCTTTCATTAAGTATCTACATTTACATTTTACAATCCACCATAGATAACCTTGTCATGTCTATGTCGGACAGACTTTCTGCTGTAATTAATTCGAATGGACAATCTACAAAGTACTAATTTTTTGTATCTGTTTCTGTCCT